TCTTTCTTTCTTAGTTTTGCTCTTGTTGCCCAGGCGGGAGTGTAGTGGCGCGATCTCGTCTCACTGCAAACTCCGCCTTCCGGGTTCAAGCAATTTTCCTGCCTCAGCAGCCCGAGTAGCTGGAGTTACAGGCACCCCTCACCATGCCCAGCTAATTTTCTGAGACAAACACTAGCTCCTTGGTTCAAACGTTCTTGAGGGGATGTAGAAATAGTTTGCCAGCCTTATCATTCTACGTGTCCTGAAATACCAAGCTCTTCTTAATGTATATATTGCCCACATGAGCTATTTGCTGTAAGTAGCTTGGAGCAAATAGTTTGAAAATAATTTTCTTCAGTACAAAACTCCAAGTTGGGAGCTATTTTCTGTCATTCCTTTGTAGATAGATAGTATCCCACTATCTTTTGACTTCCTCTATTGCTATTGGGAATCCCCTTGTTTTTCTAATTGTCATTCTTCTTTTGGTGATGTCTCTTTGCTCTCTAGCTGCTTATAACATCTTTCCTTTTCCTTCATTATAATATTTGTATTTTGCTACCTAGAGTTGTTATATCTTCTATGGGGTCCTGTCTTTCATCAGTCCAGGGGAAAGAAATCCTCAAATATCCTGTTTTCTCCAACTCAGTCTTTGTACTCTACACTTTGTAAACTCTAATTTATGTATTGGACTCTAATAAATGTGCTGGACTATTCATTCTGTCTTCTAACTTAATTTCTTTGTTTCTCTGCGCTAACTCTGTTAACTTCTTTCAATTTGTTTTTTAGTTCACTAGTTGAACTGTGCCTAAACTGCTATTTAACACATTCAAAAATTATTTTTTATATTGTATTTTTTAATATCACAAGTTATTTTTGGTATTCATGCTTCCAAGAGAATCTTTTAAAAGGAATCATTGCACTTATTATTATCCAAAGCATCATTTATGCCATTAAGATATTTCACCTTGTCTTTATCCTACAGATAATAATTTATGAATATGTAGATTTTGGAGGCTCGGATCTTTTATTTTTGTTTTAACTATTCTTTTATATCTCATTTCTTTGTGTGTGTTTTAATTATTTTTTTGTTCTGAGGAGGAACTTAATGGGAAGTGTGAGTCCACTGGGGTGTGTCTATACCCAGAAGATCACTCTTATTTAGCTCACGCATTCTTTGTAAGTTTAAGGACTGAACCCTCTTACACTGAGCAATTCATACTCCATGAAGCCCTCCATTCTCAGTGCAAGTGTTTGCCTCTATGATTGTACCCGCTTCTATAATCCCATTTTGTCTTCCTTGATAGTTTTAGCTAACGTGTGTGTGTTAGCATGTTGAGTTTTTTCTGTCTGTCTTATGATCTCGACAATGCATTTGAAAGTTACAGTTTATCATGCATCAGTTTTGTGGCAATAAAGGGCTTCTCAGAATATGCTTTACAATTAGTCTCAGTTCCAGAAATGAGAGACCCCAGAACTGGAAAATTAAACTTCCTGAGAAACATACTCAGAGGTCTTGTTCTGATTTACTTAAAAACAAAAGTTAGACCTAGAATTTATTATTTCAATATTTTTACCAAAAAGAGAAAAATATTAAATACATAATTATTTTTATTTTTCCCCCCATATGCTTATGATGAGTTTACCAGAGCACTCTGCAACAACCAAATGTGGGAATTAGTGATTGATAGCCAAAAACAAGAGTATTCTTTTAGACATAAAGATGATAATTAGAAAGTTCAATCTGGTGGGAGAAAAATGTTAAGAATAAAAAATTAGAATTAGGTTGGGCGCCTAATTAGGCTCAGTACTTTGGAGGCCGAGGTGGGTGGATCACCTGAGGTCAGGAGTTCGAGACCAGCATGACCAGCATGGAGAAACCTCATCTCTACTAAAAATACAAAAAATTAGCCAGGCATGGTGGCGCATGCCTGTGATCCCAGTTACTCGGGAGGCTGAGGCAGGAGAATTGCTTGAACTTGGGAGGCGGAGGTTTTGGTGAGCCAAACCTTGCACTTTGCACATTGCACATTGCAACCTGGGCAACAAGAGCAAAACCCCGTCTCAAAAAAAAAAAAAAAGAAAAAAAAAATAAGATTGCTTGAGTACGTATTTAAATACATACTCCTCAATATAGACATATTTGACTTTTTTAGCTTAGTTCACATACTCTTAAAATTTTAGATTGTGTAGTTCATGAATTTATTCATGAATTCATTAAAAATATTTATGTTGAAGGCAATGTTGTATACAA